ATAATTAATCACGATTAATCACATCCAAAATAAAAGTTTTTGTTTACATAATATATGTGTGTGTACTGTGTGTGTGTGTGTGTGTGTGTGTGTGTATATATTCATGTATAATTTATATTATATATAAATATATAAGTATATTATATTATATTATATATAAACAATTTTTTTTTTATATTATTATACATACATGTGTGTGTATTTATAAATGCATAATAAATATACACAGTACACACACATATATTGTGTAAAGTTTTATTTTGGATGCGATTAATCACGATTAATTGTTTGACAGCACTAATATATACATATATACTGTATATATGTATGTATGTATATATAAACATACACACACATAATATATGAATAAAAATAAAAGTTTCATTAGTCCATTTTAATGGACATATATATATAGGTACAGTACATAAAAGAAAAATCAACATTTCCTCATACAAGAATCAAGAATGCAGCCTCCAAGAATTAGCATTCTGTCTTACTACTCTGGAGTATACTGTCATATTTTTTTAGCCTCCTTCAATTGTTTTTTTATTTTGGATGCAATTAATCGTTTGACAGCACTAGAATTTATATTTTTTGTTGCCTTTGACATCACACATTCTTGTTGTTATACTGTGTGATATTTTTGAAAGAGGATTTCAAAACCAAACTGTGTTTGGCCGTTAAGTCATTTTCAGAAATATCCGGAAAATGGGGTGCAGTTAAACAGCTAAGTGAGCGAGAAGGCATCACCAGCATTTTTTCCCTGGGCACATCCTCTCCTGCATTATTAACTGCACTTTCACTGAATTTCAAACCGTGTTTGTAGTGCTTTGATGTGAAGTGCTCAGGCAACCTGCATGTCCTTTCATGCAATTAAGAATGTTCAGCCAAACATGAGCACAGAAACAACCCTCCTGTTTAATGTTTCCTTCAACTCTTTTTAATTAAAGCTTTCATGCATTTAAATCCTGTGATACACTAGACAGGGTCCAAAATTTACTCTTTGCTACACCTGCCTGTGTATAAAGGTAATTTATTTATAATCCATTAATATTTATAGGGGGTGGGGTGCTTTAGGTGATCCTTCTGTCAGACAACACCCATCCCGTTAAAATGTCATATGACTGAAACTATTTTATCATTCCGACATGTTTCACAGCCACTATTTGTGTATTTTTGAAACTATAATGAAATATAAGGCCAATTTCACGGTATAGACCTTATTCAGGTTAGACGTCATAAATTTAACATGAATGAAAACAAGGCTGTGAAGGATAGACTTGCAGTCTTTACAATGATATGCAATGTATAAAGATTCTAGATCACGTAATTTTTACAACTCTGGAAACTATAGAGCAGGGCTGTCCAAACTCGGTCCTGGAGGGCCGGTGTCCTGCAGAGTTTAGCTCCAACCCTAATTAAACACACCTGAACCAGCTAATCAAGCTCTTACTAGGCATAAAAACTTCCAGTCAGGTGTGTTGAGGCAAGTTGGAGCTAAACTCTGCAGGACACTGGCCCTCCAGGACCGAGTTTGGACAGCCCTGCTATAGAGTTTTTGTCTTCTGATTTTTTTTTTTCATTAGCTGAACGTGTTGAACAACAGTACAATCCATTAAACACACTGTACTTATTTCCCTCACAGCCTCATTTTCATTCCTGTCAAAAATTAAATATGCCATTACCCTGACTAAGGTCTATTGGGCTGATCTCTGTTCCAACCTTGAGACCATTAGCTTTGCTTTCATCAGAAACCATAACACGGTATCAGCTGTATTATGTTATTGATAAAGATCAATTTTTTCCCTTAATTTGTGGTTAATTTATTTTATTGTATTTTATTCAATATTCTAGTAAGGCTGAAAGGTATAAATACTTAATGTTATGTATTTGTATTCTAGTTTTGAACTTTGTTCTTATTTCTATTTAATTCTAATACAGGGGTGGCGAACGTCAGTCCTGGAGAGCCGCAGCCCTGCAGGTTCGCCACCGCTGTTCTAATACTATCCTTTGAACTTAGTTTAGTTTTCATTGTTTTTGCATTGTATGAGTGTTCAGTTTGAACTGAGTCTGAGTTGAAGGCGCATCAGTGGCCTAGTGTCAGACTCTGGTCCGTGTTTTGTGTGTGTTTTGCTCATCATGTGCCTTCCTTGCCCTTATTTGGTCCTTCCTGTTCCTGTCCTCGTTCGTCTCCAGCTGTGTTTTTATTAATTAGTTAATTTGCTCCCAGGTGTGTTCCATTGGTGTCTGTGTATTTAAAGTGTGTATGCGTGCGTGCCAGCCCCGGGCCCATATGCAAAAACATTTGTACGGGCTCCTTCAAACATCATAGGTTAATGTAGGCTCCATCGCTCCTTATTGTTGTCTTTTCTAAGGTAAATAACATTACATGACTATTCACAAGCTGTTATATTAATAAAAAATATATAAATGTTTGGAAATAATATTTCACGTTTTCAAGTCATTTATTCATTAGTAGCGCACCAGCCACCCAATAATCGCAATAAGCGTGTTTTGTTACTTTTAATATAACACAAATTGTAGCCTTTAAATTGTCAATTTTATCTTGAAATACAAACAATAAATGTGTTTTCCCGCTCTTTAATGTGGTGTGAAATCACTGTATTTAGTTCAAGCGGCACATGAATCAATCATCTATTTTTCTATTAGTTCCAGCACGAGATAAACATGAATGAATATCAGTAGACATGTAAAAAAATAAAATAAAATCAGTACAACTTAAACGAATGTCATGTAGGCTAATCGGTCGACCAATCAGTGTTTCGAAAATCGTCAATAAAACAGCCCATGAATAGTCATAACAGTTGTAAGATAACATTTACCTCAGAAATGCCAATAAAATAACTTTGCCATCTTTTGTTTTATCACTTATATTCATAAATCAGGCAGTTGACCAGCTTTAATGTAAGTAAATGCATTAACTAACATTATATTAGTTAGTATAAAATAACAATGAAAAATATTTCTAAAGCATTTATTAATCTTAGCTCATGTTAATTTTACTAATACTTTATTAAAATCGTAAGTTGTGTTTTTGTTAATATTATTTAATGGACCTGAGCTAATGTGAACTAAAAATGAACGCCTTTGTGTCACCTTTGGCTTGCTTAGTTGGGGACACTTAATTCCTGGCAATACTGTCAGCTTGACCGCTTAGACACTATTTGAAGAGAACTGAACTGAGTTGGATGATGACTACTGAATCCACATTGAACTGACTTTTAACTGAAAAATTGATTGTTTACTATTGTGCTCCAACATTATTGACAAACTGTTTTCCTGTTTAACACTGTAAAGCTGCTTTGACACAATCTGTATTATATAAAACGCTATATAAATGAAGGTGACTTTACTTGACTATTAAATCCAAAGTGCTGCCATGAAACTCTAGATGGTGCAGGCTGATAGGTCCTTAACTCAAACTGCTATCACATTGTTATCAATGTGACACAGCTGATTGGGTTCTGTTGCATCAGCAGCCAATGAGCTTGCTGCTCAACATTCAAATAGTTGACCAATGTTTGCTGAAACAGATACGGATTTCAGATGCTTTCTGAAAGCGTGCTGCAAACTAAGATAAGTGAATGCTCTTTTACTCCATATCACTGCATATTGCAAGGTCTTCCTTAAATGAGCAAGTATAAACAAGTTTTAAACTTAAAAGCGTCATGTTAAAGTCTTGCATTTGATGCAGGAATGAATGGCTAAACATATAAGCAGCAGTGTTTACACAACTGGGTTTATACAGATACAACAAGCAGTCTATTGTTTTACCAGAATATGTAATTGTTGTAACAATTTGCCGACTAAGCTATGGATATGAGAACAGGCTAAAGTGAAATAAGCATTCACTCTGGATATATCTGTATATATATTTTCAAACAGGATTTGCCATATTTAGCTGTGTTACCTCAATATATACAGTGGTGTGAAAAAGTGTTGGCCCCCTTCCTGATTTCTTATTTTTTTGCATGTTTGTCACACTTTAATGTTTCAGATCATCAAACAAATAAAAATTTTAGTAAAAGATAACACAAGTGAACACAACATGCAGTTTTTAAATGAAGGTTTTTATTATTAAGGGAAAAACAAAATCCAAAACTGCATGGCCCTGTGTGAAAAAGTGTTTGCCCCCTAAACCTAATAACTGATTGGGCCACCCTTAGCAGCAACAACTGCAATCAAGCGTTTGCGATAACTTGCAATGAGTCTGTTACAGCGCTGTGGAGGAAACACTTCTTCACACAGGGCCATGTAGTTTTGGATTTTGTTTGCGCCGCATACCCAGGCCATTTTAGAGAATAAATTCACGGGATAATTCATATAAACATGATTATAAGTTGATCCCTTGTCATTTGAAATGTAACTTAAAGCTTAAAGTGTTAGGAATAAGTACGTAAAATGATTTATTTACCAAAAGGATTCTCCGCAGATTTCTCATCTCCGCTCTGTTGAAGTGACGAAGTGAAGTGACATGTGGCCAAGTATGGTGACCCATACTCGGAATTAGTGCTCTGCATTTAACCCATCCAAAGTGCACACACACACCATGAACACACACCCGGAGCAGTGGGCAGCCATTTTTTTGCTGCGGCGCCCGGGGAGCAGTTGGGGGTTTGGTGCCTTGCTCAAGGGCACCTCAGTCGTGGTATTGAAGGTGGGAGAGAGCGCTGTACATTCACTCCCCCCA